GTTTTATACCATTATTCTGTTTGCTGCAGCAGCAGATACATCTTTCTAAGTGTGCTTATCTTCATCTAAAATTACCATTTAAGGATCTCGAATGCGAGGAAAGGGATGATAGTGAGATTGGAGATGCCTTAGGACCTGGGCCTTTGTCCTTTTAATCTCATGCTGATTTTTCTTCTTCTCAAAAGCAAAACTTCACCATCACCTTCTGCAAAGAATCTAATATTCATCATTGACGCTTTGGTGTAAAATTGCTTAATAATAATGAATATTTGCATTTACATTTTGCATAGTACTTTTAAATAGATACATGATCTAACTTAAGTCTCAAACCAGACTTGTGTGAGTATTATGAGCCCTGCTTACAAAGGGTTTATATTCTCAGAAGAGCTCCGTGATTGTCTTGCACAGGGTCTGGCCGAACTGTTACAGGAGACATGGGCACCTTTGTGGTAAATTAACCCGTACTAATTTGCTTTATGTATTATTAAACATTTTTGGGTCAATAATGGCAGATTCAGATACAATCTGGCTATCAGGTTATAGTAAAAGCAGGTCGTAGACCAAATTCTGGCGCTCCACACATTTATTAAACGCACATTTGTAAACATAGGTGTAAAACCATTGTCCGTAACCTCAAAGAAGTCCCAGCTCTGGTAGATTCTGTATGCTCCACCCCCATCTTGCGTGAAGGCAGATGTGGCAGTTTTTCAAAGGCAGGATTTGGTTACTACATAGTGGATGTTAGGACCAACCACTGTTCTGTGACCCAAAGGCTGGGCACGTGGGCACCGGACTGTTGAGTTCTCAGACTTCATGCACCATCCCTAAGGGTGCACAAGCCAAAGCGCTCACTCTGTTTGTATATCCTACTTACGGAAGGGTGGAAGAATAACTCTACTCCACAAGTTTGAACACCACCAGTTTTATCAATTTCTAATATTTTATTACGCTAAGTGGCAAGCCATTAATCTCACTGGTGAAAATTCATTTCTGACCTTAATTATACCACTTCGCAAAGCCTCGGGGGTCCTGTGGGAGTTCAGAGAGCTCAGCTACTGGAGGATGGACGCCACCTCCTATGGAGCGAGGGATTTCTGATTAAATCCTGGTTGACCACTCTCAAGGCATACGTTTATTCCCGATGAGGATCGCTGTCTACCTCTGGATTATAATTTAATCTAATTTCAGACACACACAGCTGCATTACGTGGTCTCTGCCCAGAGTATTTTAAAGTAAATGCTAGAGGAGACATCCTGACCAGCTGACAGCTATTCTGGGAAGACAGGTATTATGTACCAGGCTGCTTGCTAGGGCTCCACCTGAAGCGTTAGCAGGGACAAGCCCATCCTTTCCCATGGGCCCCTTAGCACCCTAGGTTTTCTCTGACCTTTGAAATTCCAGTTTGGTAGTTCATTCCTATCTTCTTGGGGTTTTTTTGTATTGGGGCATAGTTTACTTCAAGAGGATTTTCCAGTCCATTTATTGAACATGCAATTTTATCTGAATCTGGAATCAAGTTCATGGTACCTGAAGCACGGAGAAAGTGCTGGTCTTTTCTTCAAAGGGAGCAATAAGCATTTGTTGGTTTAAATGAGACATCATTTAATGATGTCAAGTCCAGACTTATGCCAAACTTGGACTGTGGGATTTCCAGACCATTTCCATTTACCTGGTGTCTTTGCTGGGGGCTTTGATCACACCAGGCTATCTTGCATGAAGGTATATTCTTCCTGCTGAGGACAGAACTCAGGAATTTGCTCTTTTGTTAAGCTCAGGACCTCTGATGCATGATTGTGAATCAGTAACGCAGAGCTGTTTATTTCTTTAAGTATTTCTACCCTGATTAGGGTTTAGAGCTGAGAGCTGCTACTCTCTAAAGCACATGGGATGGTCAGGAAGGATTTTCTGAATTTATGGAAAGAGGAGGAGAGGGCGGGCACATGCAACTAACCGAAAGGAAAGACTCTTTCCTGTTTACACCCGCCAGCGTCTAAATATATTTTTTTAAATGTGTGGGAAAGAACCATCCTGCATTACACCGGGACTACAAACTTTGTCTTTTAAACAATAATTAGCATTTTTAAAAATCTCAGTTGAACACATCACAGAAAACATAACTACTAGATTTGTGATTTCTGACTGAAAGCCAAAGGCAGTTTTGTTTTTTTTTTAACACTGCGAAGGTATACTGTCAGATGCTATTATGAGCCTTGAATTGGAGTGGTTGTTGCTAGTTCAGAAAGTATGCCTTGGGAAGAATTGGTAGAATTTTTGAGTACTAAAAAAGACACCTGTCACAGCATCTGCTTGTCTACGGTCAGCCACTGAACTGGGAGGTGTCCCGGACAAAGAGATGCTGACGTGAGGAGCCAAAAAGTGCTCCTGGGAAATGCTGTGGAGAAGGGCTCAGCCACTCCGATCCACTGGAGATAAATATAGGCAGGGTTGTGACTTTGCCCGACTAGACTAAGCAAACTCCAAAATAGACCTATGGCTTCCTAAGAAGTGTGGGAAATTTAATATTTGTTAAGAAAAAGATGTCTCTTGGAGCTTACTGAGGAGGCTATGAGCTGAATTACCGCCCTGTAGAATAAGCCCTCCTCCCTGTTGCCTCAGCCGATTAATGACTAAATGGACTATAGAATTGTTTTGTCTTCTAGCTTCCCTTAGTGTTAGATTGCCCTCTTCCTTCTTGTGTCAACTATTTGAAAGTGTGTTATGTTTCAGTAGAGCGGTGATTCTTAGCCATTTCAGTCCCAGCAGCTCCTACTAGTTGTTCCTTTCCTAGCCACCCCTAACGAAAGGGATAGAGGAGGAGAGCTCTACTTATTCCCATGAAGAATAATATTAGTAAAACATTGACTGAATGAACCTGAGGTTGGAAGGGTCAAGGATAATCTGATTCCTCCTTAGCAGTGCTGTGCTTCCCTTTGTGTTGGTCTATTTATTCCAGCAATAGCTTTCCATGGGGTGGGCTAATTTTGACCTAGGTTTACTTGAAACTGAATGGCAGCTAATACATTCAGGCATTTGAATCTTCTGTAATTCTTTTCTTTTTAAATTGCTAAGTAAATCTTTAATATCTCTAATTGCAAATGTACAGAAATTGCACAGCCACACAGTCTTAGAAGACCAACAACTTTCTCTGTACATTATTACATAGTTGTTGAAAGTCACAGCAGCGGGGACTCCGGCCACTTCTGCTATTCTTTTTTTTTGGAGTGTATTTATTTATTTTTTTAGAAAGAGAGGAAGGGAGGGAGAAAGAGAGGGAGAGAAACATCAATCAGTTGCCTCTTGTGTATGCCCTGACCAGGAATCGAACCTGCAAACTTCAGCTTTGCAGAATGATGCCTGACCAATCAGGGCCATTTCTGTAATTCTTAATTACATAGAAGTCACTGATAATTGCCTTATCAAAAGAAAGTTTAATCAATGTTTATAAAAGGACAATAAAGCTTTCTTCTTTAGCTCACTGTAAAGAAAAAAGATAATGTGTTGATGATGGTCAAAAATAAAAATAAAGTTATTGTGATTTTAAGCACCAGGCTTTGACAAAGACCAGACCTAGACTAGATCATCCAAGACCATCATCGCCTGCCTCTTACTGAAGAAGGAATGTATATTCCTTGATTGGCTTAAGTCTAAAGGGGATTGTGGAAAAGGAGGCTTGAAGGAAATCCCAGTTCATGGATAACCATTTAGTTCGGGGATAACCTTCGAGTCAGTCCATGGATAACCATGTGAGTTTTGACATTCTGACAGCAGAACACAGCTCATAGGTGAATGTCTGTATTTTTCTAGATCTCATAAACAAATCTATAATTATCCACTCTTTTTGGAAGGATTTTGAAATTAATCCCCTAGAATCCTCTTAAGGCTGTTTTAATTTTTATATTGTAAGCCTTTAAAATTGTTTAAAACTGAAATAAATGAAAATGTATACCCTATTGCAATTTTGCCCTGCGCTGTCAGTAACCCTGGGCATACGAAAGACCTGAGGCCGGGAAACAAAGCCGACCAAGGTGTTCATGAGATCTTTAGGGGGACCTCACATTAAGTTCATAATTTACTCCTGAATTATCTGGAACAAACCAGACTCCTTTGGTATGGAAAAATAATTATCCTAGGATTTGAAATTAATCTTACTGATAACGTCAGTAATGAAATTACATGGGATGGAGAGCTGACGAAAAAATATATGTATTTAAAAATATTAAAAGGATGTAGTTTGCTTACTTGACCACAAAATTGGAGCTATCGTATAGAAGCCATTTTAGGAACTACAGGGAAAGGGTAGCCAGAGACTAGCTTTCCAGAGCAAGACTCATTCCCAAGCGAAGGAGTCTTGCTACGATGCACATCCGAGAGAACAAACCTGTATAGTCAGTGGCTCTGGTTATGGCTTTCATCATACAGTGGGGCTCTGTAGCCTTGAAGGAGTTGCTGAAGGAATTGATAGTGTTCCAGTATTTTATTTTGGAAAAAAATTGCTAAAAAGTTTTTCATGTCCAGAATAATTGTATTACATTTGGCAAAGAATCATAGGTTTTCAAGAAGATTCGTTCATGTAAAAGCACCTTCTTCCTACAGTTCCGGACACACAAATATTCATGTTACATTTCTGCAGTAGTTTGCTGAGAGTATTTTGGAAGACTCTGGTACAGTTGCTATATAATATCTCCTACTTTAGAAGATATTTGAGTATATCTTCAGATGATCTAAGTCCATATTTACTATTAAATTTTATGAACTGAGACTAGCATTGAATGAACGTTCCCTGGACACCCAGTAAACACAGTGGAATCTGTGAAATAGAGAGGTGTAGGGTACCTGTTAGCACAACAAAATGAAAATGTAAAGCCAAAGGGAAATCTCCATTCAGAAGGACTTGTCATTGTTGTTTAATATTCCTTCCTGTTATCAGTTAATTTCTCAGTGTTCACATCCATAAGAGGTGTGGTGTCTAACCCTGACTTTTGTTTCCTCTTTATTCCAGAAGCCTCCCCAGCTTTCCGAGGATGATGTCCGGCTAAAAAACGAGAGAGACATCTGTGGTGCCAACCCCCTAGATCCTGCAATCAGCTCTCTTCCCTCAGATCACAAAAACATGGAAATTGAGGTCTCTGTTGCAGAATGTAAAAGTGTACCTGGAATCACCTCTGCTTCACATTCCATGGACCACCCCTCCCCTTTCTACTCGCCCCCGCACAATGGCCTCCTCGCTGATCACCATGAATCTCTGGATAATGATGTGGCCAGTGAGATCCGATATCTAGACGAGGTGCTGGAGGCCAACTGCTGTGATTCTGCTGTGGACGGAACTTACAACGGCACATCCTCCCCGGAGCCTGGCGCGGCCATCCTGACAGGCAGCCCAAGCCCACCTGCTCACATAGCCATCCTGCCAGAACCCACTGACAGAGCAGCTGGCAAGCAGGTTCCTCCTCACATTGAGCTCAGTAAAAGCAACTCTGACACCATGGCAGAGGGGGAAAGTGCGAACGGCCACTCCCCTGACCAGCCCAGAGATCTGCTGGGTGACAGCTTGCAGGCTCCTGTGAGCCCCAGCTCCTCCACAAGCTCCTGGTGCTCGTCCCGAGATGGGGAGTTCACGCTCACCACGCTGAAGAAGGAAGCCAAGTTTGAGCTGCGTGCCTTCCATGAGGACAAGAAGCCCTCCAAGCTCTTTGAGGATGACGAGAATGAGAGAGAACAATACTGTGTCCAGAAGGTGAGGCCTACAGAAGAGATGCTAGAGCTGGAAAAGGAGAGGCGGGAACTCATCCGGAGTCAGGCTGTGAAAAAGAACCCTGGCATTGCAGCCAAATGGTGGAATCCTCCGCAGGAAAAAACCATCGAGGAACAGCTGGACAAGGAACATCTGGAGTCACACAAAAAGTACAAGGAGCGCAAGGAGAAGAGGGCGCAGCAGGAGCAGTTGCTGATGCAGCAGCGGCCCCCACCGCAGCCTTGCACAGCCCCTGTCTCCACTCGGGAACCTTCCAGCATGACTGAGAACGTGAAGGATGTCGTCACCGAGCAGATAGATTTCTCTGCTGCTCGCAAACAGTTCCAGCTCATGGAGAATTCCAGGCAAACAGTGGCCAAGGGCCAGAGTACGCCCAGGCTCTTCTCCATCAAGCCCTTCTACAGGTCTCTGGGTTCAGTCAACTCAGACAAGCCACTGACCCTCTCGAGGCCAGCTTCCATTGGGGGTCCTCCAGAAGACAGTGGCACGTCGGCAGCCAAGGGGCAGAAAGGCCACTGTGCCCTGGAGAGCCAGTCTCTGGGAGGAAGCCAGGGCAGCGCAGCTCCTCAGGGGAGGGAAGGGCCCTATAGTGAGCCTTCCAAACGCGGGCCCTTGTCCAAACTGTGGGCAGAGGATGGAGAGTTCACGAGTGCCCGGGCCATCCTCACCGTGGTCAAGGATGAAGACCCTGGGATTTTGGATCAGTTTTCAAGATCTGTCAATGTCTCTTTGACTCAAGAGGAGCTTGATTCTGGTCTGGATGAATTGTCTGTGAGGTCCCAGGACACCACTGTCCTGGAGACCCTGTCCAATGATTTCAGCATGGACAACATCAGTGACAGTGGGGCTTCCAATGAGACAACCAATGCCCTCCAGGAAAATTCACTGGCCGATTTTTCTCTGCCCCAGACTCCCCAAACTGACAACCCTTCAGAAGGCCGAGGAGAAGGTGTCTCCAAGTCATTTAGCGATCATGGTTTCTATTCCCCTTCATCCATGCTGGGAGACTCTCCCTCGGTTGATGACCCCTTGGAATATCAGGCTGGTCTCCTGGTGCAAAATGCCATTCAACAAGCCATAGCCGAGCAGGTGGATAGAGCTGCGTCTGGAGCCAACAAGGGTGGAACAGAACAGCGGGGACCTGGAACCACTCTAAAGGAATCTGGAACGGGGGCCCCTAACTCAGAGAAGCCTCAGAGCATGTTTGAGCCACCTCAGGTGTCCTCTCCTGTCCAAGAGAAAAGGGATGTATTACCAAAGATCCTGCCTGCTGAAGACAGGGTGCTCAGGGAACGGGGACCCTCCCCACCATTGCCAGCAGTGCAGTCCAGCGGCCCAATAAACATGGAGGAGACCAGACCAGAAGGGAGCTATTTCAGCAAGTACTCCGAGGCAGCTGAGCTGAGAAGCACAGCCTCGCTCCTGGCCATGCAAGAGTCTGACGTGATGGTTGGGCCCTTCAAGCTGAGGTCAAGGAAGCAGCGGACTTTGTCCATGATTGAAGAAGAGATCCGGGCTGCCCAGGAAAGGGAAGAGGAGCTGAAGAGGCAGAGACAGGTCTTGCAGAGTACCCAGAGCTCCAGGGCAAAGAACGCCTTATCGCTGCCCTCCCGAACATCATGCTTCAAAACCGCTCCAGGTAAGTGAAGTGCCGTGGACCAGAATCAGACACTGTTGGTTGATTTCAGCTTACAGGTTTCTATGTGGAGCCTCCTCTGTGTGTGGCTGGAATGTGTCCGGGGTACGCTAGCACAAGGACTTCAGCATTTGGGGCACACAACTGAAGTGGCAGAGTGTCCTCTGGAAGAACCCTGAGCCCAGATGGTGTTAGACATTTCCCAAAGGATGCAGTAGCTCCTCACCTGTCGTTCCGCTCTGGTCTTGGTTTACTACAGAGAATTGTACTCATTGTATCTGAAGGGGCTCCTTGGTGGAGGGAGGGACTCTGTGGGGCCCATGTGGTCTGTTGGAGTCAGCAGCTTCACCCTTTGTGTCTGTAAGTTAAATCAAACCCATTTAACATGGGGGATGTGCTCTACTAACCCCTTCTGAATGGGAGGCCCCGTCCCAACAATGACATTTCATGACTTGGTGTTATAGATTGACCCAGAGAAGATGCTATTGTCCCTCTTCTGTGTGATTGGGTTTGCTTTCAGTCACCACAAAGCAATTACTTTGGGATTTGGGATGGTCTCATTTATTCGTGCCTGCTGACCCACTTAGAGAAGTTGAGTTACTCTATGGAAAGGCAGGTCTTTTATCCCCTTTCTCATTGGCTGGGCAGGTCTCTTTCTTGAATAGTTTGTGTAGTCGGTTGATACTAATTATAGTGGTAATTATTGCTACCATTATTGGTAACAGTGTGACCAGTAGTTTTTATTTCCCATTTGGATAGGATGGCAATTGGAGACTCACACATCCCACCACAGAGAGATGCTGCTGAAAGTGTGGCCTCAGCTAGTCTATGAAGAGTTTGTTATGGGTCTGTACTGCCATAATTACAGACAGTAAGAGTAAGCTTTTGAAAGCTCTCGGAGCAATTTGATATTGTCCTCAAATCCAAATGTGGGACTTTGTAGTTTAAGAAGTGTTGGTCTGCAAAAGACGGGGGAGAAAACTGTTTCTTTACCAGAGATAATTTAAAAGTATTACCCTAATATATAATCATTGGCATTGAAATTGGGCCTTCCAAATCTTAATCCCATTTTGACACTTGACTTCTATAGAATCTACAGTGATGCAGTGTAACTCTTTTTGTTACTAATTTTTAAATTTTAAAACATCTCAACCTGAAGAAAAGTTCCCAAGTTTAAATACCTCTTTTTTATTCTGAACAAGTGCGAGTAAATTGCCAACGTGATGCTCCATCAGCCCCATAGTTTGTCGAATGCATCTCCATCTGGGTTTGTCTGATGCTTTCACATGGTGATATTCAAGTTATGCATCTTGGGTAGGAATACTACAGAAATAATGCTTATTTGCACTGTATCCAGTCAGGTAGTACGTAGTGTCAGGTTGTCCCATTATGGGGACAGATGTTAATTTTTTTCACGTGGTACTAATTTTGATCCCTTGATTGAGGGAGTGTCTGCCAGCCTTCTGCACAGTGAAGTTTTGTTTTTCTTTTTGTAATGAATATGTATTTTGTAGGGAGGTACTTTGGTATGCTGTAATCTTTCTCTTACTCATCAACAAACTAAATCTATTCATTTGTCTATTTATATCTTTATGGTTTCATAGACTCCTGTTATAGTCAGTGGCTTACAATCCAGTTCTATTATTATTTTTATCCTTAATTTGTTCAAATACAGCTCATGGGAGCCCTTTCAAGCTAACCTCAGTGTCTTTTTGACATGTTCCCATTATTATTTGGGCACGTCCTTACTCACACCATGAGAAGTTCCAGTCTTATCTTATATTTTTCTAACCTTGAAATCAGCCACTTCTCTGAAGAGCACTAGTTTCTTCTAGTGGAGAATGGTATTTAGAGACCAAGATCTACGTCCTGGGTGTGCTCATTGCTATTGTATTATCACAGGCACTCTCAGAGGACAGAATTAAAGAGTATTCTTCCTTCCTTCCTTCCTTCCTTCCTTCCTTCCTTCCTTCCTTCCTTCCTTCCTTCCTTCCTTCCTTCCATCCATCCATCCATGCATCCATCTTGAAAACCATGAGCTCACCCACATATCCTTAATTCTAATTTCATACCATAGGGCTCATTTTCTCTTTTTTCATATTTAAACCTCCTTCTTGATAACAAGATACCGGATTGCTATCATCCTCAATGTGTTTAGTATATGATTGATCCCCTCCCCCCTCATGCAACCAGTCTCCTATTTTTCTTATCCCTGTTGGGTTCCAGCGCCTTATGCTGGGTCACCATGGTCCCCTACCCACCCTGCTCTGGCTTCAGCACACCACTCTGGGCCAGTGTGGCTCCTCCCATCCCCGTTGGAGACACCATCTTGTCCAAACCCATGGAATGCCCTTTGGACTAAATTATTCAGGAAGGAAAAAGAAGGTGCAAGGAAAGGGAGAAGCCGGTGACTTCTTGCTAAGTTTTTTAATCCCTCCAGCTGAGTGTTTGAGGGAGAGAAAACTAACACAGGAGGGTTTCTGTTCATGCTTAGCAGTGGGGCTGGCTTAGCACCAAGATGCCAGTTGGACATACTGTATGATATCTACTCAGATAAGTAACTCTAAACGGCCTGCATATAAGAACCCACCGTTTGACGGAAGAAGGTTCTTCAGGCACCTCAGCCCCTTCTGCTCACACGGAAGGCAGGTACCATGGTTCTTCTATCAGGTATAGCGGGCTCCACCTACCTAGCCATCTTTACATTGATTTTAATAGAGAATCTTCTCTAAAGTGCATGTGCCCAGTGGGTATTTTGAGTTGTCTTCATTTTACCATATTGCTCCCTTACTTTACTTCTAGCACATGGACAAAAATAAAGATATGTCAACACTGTTCCCCTAGTTTCCTGACCTGCTGTTGTCTGTCAGGCTTCCCCACCAGACTTAAAATAAGGCAGGGTCCTAATGTTTGCCCTCAGCTTCCTCGCACATCCCTCTATACTCTTGCTAATCTCCCCTCCATATCCCATCCCTGCAGGACTGATATCTGCCTTTTTAGTAAGATGGTTATTCATTTGTTCAGTTTTGTGCACTGCTTGGGTCTGGTTCTCACACTGAATGGAGTCATAATGATGCATGTGTACCTCATTCCTTCATGTTTATCTCTAAAACATTTCAAGTAGGTGGCAGGGCTTCCCAGGATTAAACATGGATTGAAATGAACTGAATACAAAATGTAATTTTCTTTCTACTTATGCCTGGGAACATTTGGAGTATTGCGTGGCTAGCTAGCCGCCAAGTTCATGATCAGGGAGTAGGCTGACACATCACTTAAAGTGGCCAAACTGGACGATGCAAACTGGCCAGAGTCAGAACTGCTGGCTCTGACCTCAGTATTGTGAATGGAGATGTTGCCATGTTTCATTCCAGTAGAGGTGACTCAGTTGCTTTGTTGCATGACTCAGATCGATGATTTAAGTTAGGTGATGAAAAATATAATTTTTAACTTCCCCTTTGGTGAAAATCATGCTGGAAACATGCTGGAATCCTAAAACCTTACGGAAAATTTGCTGAGAGCGAAGATGTGATAAGGAAAGAGAAACCTACAAATTCTCCCCAACCATACCCCAGGTATCAAAAAGATACGTTTTCACTTTTAGTTTCCCTTTGAAAGATGGAGGAAGATAGGGTTTCTGTTTTTAAAAGGACATAGTCATTTTCAAAGACCAATTATTAGAACAAATTATCTGGAAGTTTTATCTTACTGATTCTTACATGATTTTTAGAGGAAGAAATTCCACTCAAATAGGGTTTGTGGTACATTTGTTCACACAGAGGTGAATAAGACCGCTCCCTGCCCTTGGGGAACTTAAAAGTTCAGTAAGAAAAACAATATCAAACAAAGGTGATTTCCTGCAGGGAAGCATCGGGACCTGTCGGAGCAGAGAACAAGGCAGACCACCTCACTCGGGGGATAAGGGAGTCCTGCTTTCTTGGGAAACTGCCATCTTGGCTTTGAACTGAAGGAGAAGTTAGGTTCAGGGGGTGGAGAAAATTGTTCCCGCCTACAGGAAAAGCACTTACGGGGACCCCGACACAGTAGAGACCTTGGCACATTTGAGGTGTTAACATGAGGTCTGGGTGGGTTAAAGGAAGAAATCGAAAACAAAGTTGATTGGGGCCAGACAGCCTTCATGGTGTAGATTTTAAACTTTCTCCCATGGTCAGTGGGAAGCCAATGAGGATTTTCAAAGGGAAATGACCTTCACACACCTCCAGGCTGTCCCAACTTCGTCTATGACCCGGCAGGCTCACAGCCTTCCTGCCCTGATGAGTGTATCTTACCAGCTTCTGTGGGTCTCTTCCTCTGCATGAGCGCTTCTGAAGGCACGTCACTGCTGCCAACTTGACGGATGGCGTGTGTTATGTGAGAGGCCACAGCCCCAAGAATGAACACATGGGCACCTTCTGCTGATGTCCTTAGAAGCAGAAAATAATGAAAGTGCTTCCACAGGTGTACAAGCCTGATTGGTAGGTGGAATCCACACACTACTCTGTAAACCATCCTTGAGGAGTGAGTTTGGGGAGCGGGGGGTGGCCAACCCAAACATTTTATTGAAGTTAACAACTTAGACCTTTTCAGATGAAGGGCATTAACAGACAGTTCTCTTTTTTAGCCTATAGTTTATTATTAGATATCCTGGTTTCACTTCCAAGTTCTAGGTATGACAGCAACCCAGTTAGTTAGGTGATTAGTTAGGGTTTTGTTTCTTTAACTGTTTTTTTTTTTTTTTTTTTTTAGTTTAGTTTAGTTTAGTTTGTTTGTTTGTTGTTTGTTTTTTTAAAATAACTTCTCTTTTCATGCCAGGTGTTGACTTGATCTTTCCAGTCCGGGAAGTGGCCCTGTGGGGCACTGGGGCGGGGTGAAGGAGAAGGTGTGGATATTGAACCCCATAACTCAGAGTACCTGTGCATGTCTTTCAGTTGGAGGGAAGAGGTGATAGTTATACATATTATAAGAATAATTATAAGGGAAATTCTAAGTTTCCAAAGAGTTTCAAC